CCGGTGTCACAGCCATCCCTAAATCCACCCCCCCAATCCAGCTGCGACAGACTTCTGGTGGCTCACACAGGCTTGCACACTCGCACACTCAGGTCACCTGGCTGAGTGTGGGTGAAGTAGGAACAATTTCCCTCCCATTCCACATGAAAACTCCCTCCAGAGACAACGGATATGAAGGCTGCCTCAGTATAGGCTGCAAACTATAATTTGCATTCAGAACATTTTTAATTATTGCAGCTTAGAAATTTTGTTGTTGTTGTGTGTGTGTATGTAATTTCTGGTGGCCAGGAAGGAGGAGAAGGATGGTATTCTGAAAATGCATTAGAAATATTCCTACAGCGTTCTAGATTTCCAGAAAGAGCCAGAGCTCATCATCATGTGGAAGCTTAATAAGAAACAAAGGTGATTTTGCGCCCTAGTGGACACAGCCCAGAGGTTGAGGATCTTGGAAACACTGCAGACACCATGGGGAGAGTCCCGGGGGGTACAAGGGCCCTGGCTCATGAGAGCTGCTGCTCACCTCCTGGGAAAAACCCAGCAATTCTACTGCCTGTCACCATACAACACACCTGGGTTCTAGACAAAAAAAGCCAGGACTGAGAAGGGTGGGAGTGAAAGACATGTCACCTGCTCTTCTCACGTTTCCTGCAAGAAATCCCTGTGGAGAAGAGACTCCTGGCTCAGTAAATGAGTCACTGGCTTTAGGAGCCAAGAGAGCTGGAAAGCAGATGCCAGGAAATAAGCAAGGAGGAAGCTTGGGGAAAGTTTTCAGCTTCAATGTGAAAATGTCAAGCTACTATGCTCTTGTGGGAACTCGGGGAGAAAAACAAGTGTGAGAAAAGACTAGAGAAATGGCCAGGAACCAGCCCAAGTAGAGCCTGTGTGTTTTGACAATTTAGAATAACGGAAGAGACACCTTCAGAGGAGGGGGACATACCCCAGTATTCACAGTCATTCATCCTCCATAAAAGTACTGAGCACCTCAAGTTCCTGTGGTGGGCGCCATGATCCCCTGTACTGCAGAGCCATGGAGCAAGCCATCGCCCTGTGGTAAGTGATATGGCTTTGGGATTGTGAAGCTACTGCAATCTGCAGGTGCGGATCTGCAATATTCTGACTTAGAAGAAATAGATGTATCTGGTCATTCACTTAGAGAAATCTATTTCTCATACCTATTTGATCTTCACCCATAATTCCTGCTCACAGCTCCCCAAAACTTTGGAATTTCCTAAGTGCTGAGAATGTTAACGGTGTCTCTTGTTAGGCTAAGGAGGTGACTTTTGGGAAAATACCTGAGGGGGGAGCTGGTTGCCAGGGAAACCAGACAGATGATGAGAGGTTTGGAGCTTCAGCCCCACACCCAGACATTTGGGGAGGGGAGAGTGGTTGGAGGTTGAGTTCACTTGCCAATGCCCAATGATGTAATCATCGTGCCCACGTAATGAAGCCTCCATCCAGTCCAAGAGGGAGAGGCTTGGGAGAGATTCCAGCTTGGTGAACGCAAGGCGATTTGGGGAGAGTTGGGCACTAATTTGAGAATCCTGCAGCTGCAGTGTAGATACTCCCCACAAGGTGGCGCCAAAGACCAGAGGGCGTGGACGCACTTGGCCTGTTCCCCACGATGGGCTCGTGGCATCTCTTCACCCTGACAGTTCTTGAGTTATATCCTTCGTAGTAAGTAAGTGATATGGTAGTAAATGAGCTTCCTGAGTTCTGGCGCTGCTCTAGCAAGTTAATTGAACCTGAAGAGGGCATCAGAAGCACCGGTAATAATAACCTCCAACTGTACCTGCAGTCTGAGGAGGCAGTGGGAAGCTGCAATCTGCAGTTGGTCAGAAGCCCAGGTGCAGGCTGGACTTGTGACCCGCATCTGAAGTATAGTGAGGTTTTGGGAGACCAAGCCCCCATCCTGTGGAACCTGATGCTAGTTCCCAGTAGACAGTGTCATGAATGAGTCGAATTCTTGGACAGCCTGGTGATGTCCAAGAATTGCTTGTTGGTGTGAGGGAGCCTACACACACATGCGCATGTGGGAACGGGCCCCTGCACATAAACAGGCTCCTCGAGGGTTTCTTTCTTTAAAACAAAATCTATTGCGGTACCATTGGTTAACAACACCGCATACGATTCAGGGGCATGTTACCACCCCACACCCAGCACCAAGACACCCACAGTCCTCAACCATACCCACTGTGCCTCCTCCACACTTTGCTCTCCCCCCTCCCGTCCTTGAGCCTTAATTCCGCAGTCAGATTTCTTTTTTTTTTTTTTTAAGATTATTTATGCATACAAGGACTGGGGTACAGGCCAGAAGTATAGCGGGGGTGAGAAGATTCTCCAGAGACAGAGTGGGGAGCAGAACAGGCAGATTGATCAAAGTACACTGCTGAGGGGAGCAGCGGGCGAGACAGGAGAGGTCTGCTGTGCCATGTTGGTAGCTCCCTGGCCGGGGATCGAACTCGTGTTGCAGAGGCTGCAGACAGATTCATAGTGTGGTGCTTAACCCCTTGCACCACAAGGGAGGCCCCTGCAGTGAGATTTCTATGACTTGTTACTGGTTTGGGTCTATCTTTCCTTTTGCTTTTTTCCCCTGTAGATTCCCCATGCAAGTGAAACCACAGGATATTTGTCTTTCTCCTCTGACTTGTTTTGCTTCGCGTCATCCCCTCCAGTTCCATCCATGTTGTTGCAAATGGCAAGAATTCATCTTTTTTTTTTTTTTTTTTAAGCTGAGTAGGAGTCCGTTGTGACTATAGACCACATCTTCCTAACACTCTCATCTCTCTTTGGGCACTGAGGTTGTCTCCATACTTGGTTATTGTAAATAGTGCTGCAATAAACAGAGGAGTGTATCTGTCCCTTCGAATTAGTGTCTTTGCATTCTTTGGTTACATACCTTAGACTCGTATTGCTGGATTGTACGAAAAATATATTTTGAATCTTTTGGGAATCCTGTTTTCCACAGGGGCGGGCCAGCGTGCACGGCCCCCAGCAGGGCAGGGGCCAGCACTGCTCTGTCTGGTCTTTTTGAAGCCATCCTCAGGGGCATGAGATTGTATCTCAGTGCGGTCTTGATTTGCATTTCCCTGATGTACTTGATGATGAGTGTTTTTTCATGTGCCTGTTGGCCAGTTGTATGTTTTCTTTGGAAAAGTGTCTGTTTAGCTCGTCCACCCATATTTTGATCTTGTTATTTGTTTTCCTTTTGTTGAGTTGTGTGAGTATTTTGTAGATCATGGATATTAGCCCCTTGGCAGATGTATGATGTGCAAATATTTTCTCCCATTCCAGGCGGGTGTCTTTCTTTTAATGATTGTCTTTCCTTGGCTGTGCTGTGCAGAACCTTTTTTTTTCCTTTTTAAAGATTTAGTTATTCATGCATACAAGAACTGGGGTACAGGCCAGAGGTGCAGGGCGTGAGAGGACTCACCAGAGACAGAGCAGGGAGCAGAACAGGCAGATGGACTGAAATACACTGCTGAGGAGAGCAGAGGGCAAGACAGGAGAGGTCTGCTGTGCCATGTGGGTAGCTCCCTGGCCCCCGGGAATTGAACTCATGCTGCGGAGACTGAGGATAGCTTCCTAGTGCTGTGCTTAACCCCTTGCGCCACCAGAGAGGTCCTTTTTTTTTTTTTTGTTTTGTAAAGATTTATTTATTGGGCCTTCCTGGTGGCGCCAGGGTTAAGGACAGTGCTATCAAGCTGCAGAATCTTTGATGTAGCACCATGTGTTAATATTCTCTTGTTCCTCTTGCCATTGGAGATGAATCTACGAAAACATCACAGAAGCCAATGTCTTGGAGTGTTTTGCCTCTGTCTTTTATGTATTTTATAGGTTCTGGTTTTACATTTAACTCTTTAATTAATTTTTAGTTAATTCTTGTATACCATGTAAGACAGTAGTCTAGTGTCATTTTCCTGCCTGCGGCTGTCCAGATTTCCCAGCACCATTTATTGAAGACACTTTCCTTTCTCCGGTGTATCCTCTTAGTGTCTTTTTCTTAGATTAACCGTAGGTGTGTGGGTTTACTTCTGGGCTCTCAATTCTACGCCATTGGTCTGTGTATCCATTTCTGTTCCACGATCACGCTGTTTTGATCACTGTAGCATTGCAGCATGAAGTCTGGGCATGTGATAGCATCATTCTTCTTCTTTTTTGTCAGGGTTGCTTAGGCTGTCTGGGGTCTTTTGTGGTTCTATATGAATTTGAGTAATGTCTGTTCTATTTCTTTGAAGAATGCCATTGAAACTTTGACATGGATTGCACTGAACCTGTATATGGCTTGGGTAGATGACATTTTAACAATGTTAGCTTCCAATCTGTGATCAGGGACTAGCTTTCCATTTCTCTGTTTCTCCTAGAAGGCTTCTTGACACTTAGAGTAGGATTGTCCAGATATGAAGAAAGTCGGGTTAAATTTCAGGCAAAAGCCTGGAGCACAGCAGGGCTGTTTGGGAGAAGAGAAAGGTCATTTTGGGGAGAGATCAGGAAAGACTGGATGGGTCCTTTCTCTTCCCCATTTTGGGTTATTTGTTTGCTTACGTGTAGGGAGGCACATCTCTAAATGCCAGCAGCCTGCTTGGCCCTTCTTGTTTATTTACAGAGCAATTCAATTCCTGAGCATATGAGCTAGGCCCAGCCATGGCATACAGCAAGAGCAGAGGCCCCGGGGACGGGGGGACCCCCACAGGGCAGTCTCAGGGGAGAGTCAGGAGGCTCTTGGGGCTGGAGTAGGTCAAGGAAGGTGAGGCCTAATGGAATCCCAAGCTAATCTGCAGGCGTCTCTGGTGGGAAGCAGCCTGAGTCTGGAGAGATCCAGGCATCGAGAGACCTTGAGATGCTGAGGCTGGGAGTCAGCACATTCCCTTCTGTGTGACGTTGGAAATAATTAACCCCGGGACCCTACCGGCTGCTCCCACCACCCTTCAGGAATTCAGGCCCTCCCTGCATGACATCAGACCACACTCCTGTCGCACAGCTCTGTGGGAGAAGGGAGTCTCATTAAATCCCTTCGTTAGATGTACTGGCCTAGGGTCACCTGCCTCCAGTCCCCTTCCTGGGACACCTCTACCAGCTCACTGGGCTCTCAAGAGCCTGGGCCGATGGCTGCCTTCCCCCTGAGGCCAGAAGCAAGCCAGCTTTCTGCTGATGAAGGTTCTTTGAGCCTTCAGGGGTCCTGACTCAGCTCACGATGGCCTCTAGGGGAGCAGGGGAGTCCTGGAGGGGAAGGTAAGAGTCTTGGGTCCCAATTCAACTTGTCCACTGGTCACTGTGATGATCCTCTGATATGCAGAGCCTTGCTCTCGAACTCAGTGACTTTGGGATCTAGTCCTCTGAGTCTGAGAGTCAAGTAGTCACGTAACTGGACCGAGATCTGCCCTTGATGCCTGGAGCCTGGGACAGGACCAGGTGGCCCTTTCAGAGAAAGGGGGAGGTTCCTGACCTAGCCTGGGCTCCAGGGCAGCTATTCCAAAGGAAGGAGGTCTGAGCTGAGGCCTGAAATCTGGACAGGAGCTAGCCAGGTGAAGGAAAGTAGGAAAAGATGGGGGCCTCCCTGGTGGCTCAGGGGTTAAAATGTAGCATTATGATGTTATCTGCAGCCACAGCAGCACGAGTTCGATCCCCAGCCAAAGAGGTGACCCACATGGCATAGCAGACCTCTTCTGTCTTGCCTGCTGCTCCCCTCAGCAGTGTATTTCAGTGGATCTGTCTGTTCTGCTCCCTATTCTGTCTCTGGTGAATCCTCTCACCACCACGCCTCCCCTCCGCCCCCCCCCCATATCTCTGGTCTGCACCTCAGCTCTTGTAGGCATAAATAAATAAATCTTTAAAAAAAAAAAAATCAGGCCTCCCCGGCTTGAGCGCAGTGCTGTGAAGCTGTCCGCAGCTTCTGCAGCGCGGGTTCCATTCCCAGCTGGCCAGGGAGCTACCCACATGGTGCGGCAGACCTCTCCTGTCTCACCCACTGCTCCCCTCAGCAGTACTTTCAGTCTGTCTGCCTGTTCTGCTCCCCACTCTGTCTCTGGTGAATCCCCTCACCCTCCCGCACCTCTGGCCTATACCCCAGCTATTGTATAAATAAAAAAATAAAAATAAGGAAATAAAAGAAGGAAAAGATGCACAAAAGAGTCTGTCAAAGCCTCAGTGTGGGTAGGCGGGTGTATTTGGGAACGCAGTTGTTCGGTCTGGCCAGGGGCTAGGACATCTGAGGGAGGAACTGGCCATAGAGGAAGAGCTGGGGGGGGGGGACAGTGAGGAGGGACAGGGTCTGACATGCAGAGACTGCTCAGCTGCCCTGTGGAGAAGGCAGACGGTGAAGATGAGGACAGTAAGAGGTCAGACAGGAGGTGCAGGTGGTGTTTGGGTCGAGGGAGTGGAGAGAACAGGGTGGGTGACCTGCTGGCTGATGGAGTGTCAGGGGAAAGGTTACCACACCCAGGAGGGGGGAAGTTCTGAGAGAGGGAGATGAGGTTGACATCACACAAGGTTCATCCTAGGGAGGAAAAATGAAGCAAGAGACAGGGGCACCAAGACTCAAGTCATCGCCATGCAGACAGGAACAAAGCCAAGTAAATTTTGGTGGTGGCCTGGGGAAGTATGAAGGCCCAGGCCAGAAGACTGGCACCGAAAAAGAGCCAGTGAAACAGCTAGAAATCCAAGAGGAGAGGTCAGAGAAGCCAGAAGGAGTGTCAAAGGGGGCAAGGATCTTCTGCATGCCTCCTGTGGCTCACACCTGGAGGGCCTGGGAGGAGGAGAGAGCTGCCAACGGGAGGGTCAGGGAGCATGGTCAGGGAGCATGCCAGCGTGTGGAGGAGGTGCCCAGTGACCGTCACCTGGGACAGGCCTGAACGTGATCAGGGCCACCACAGAGGCTTGCAGAGATTGTGCACTGCACTCTCCAGTAACTATTCATTCACAAAAACACTACTTGGCGTCAGGGGGAACCCCGTGAGTGGGGAGCTGTTTTGTGAAGCCTGTAGCTGCAGTGTGGGTGCTCCCCACACGGTGGCGCCAAAGACCATCTCTGGCCTTGTTTTTTTTTAAGATTTATTTTTATTTATTTATTTATACAAGCACTGGGTACAGTCAGAAGCGCGGGAGGGTGAGAGAATTCACCAGAGCCAGAGCGGGGAGCAGAGCAGGCAGAAGGACCGAAGTACACTGCTGAGGGGAGCAGCGGGCGGCAGGAGAGGTCTGCGCGCCATGTGGGACCCTCCTCAGGTGGCTGGGGAGCAGCCAGGGATTGAACTGGCGCTGCAGAGGCTGCAGGCAGCTTCTCAACCCAGCGCTCAACCACTGCGCCACCGGGGAGGCCCACTGGCCTTGGTTTTAACTGGGGCAGGCCAAGGGCCAGTTTGGGGATCCCAGGGATGGAGGGCATTTCCAGATGCCGCCATTCCCTCTCCCCGTGGCCAGAACCCTGCCAACTATGACACCCTCCAAGTCTGTCAGAAGAGTCCGAGCCGTAGGAACTTGCAGAAATCAACTACACAGACACAGTCTTTGTCAGGGAGCCAGGCCTGAAGCGGCCCCAGGGGAGCAAGGCATCCCATGATCTGGGAGAGGCAAGGCCGTCCCTCCCACTTGTCATTTAGGAGAAAGGAGTCAGGAAGGAAGGAAGGACGCCTGGCCCAGCCTGGGGACACAGTCACCCCACCCCTTGTCCAGTCAGCCCAGAGCAGGCCAGCTCCCAGCTCCCCCTGGAGGCCAAAGCTGGGCCAGCGGGGACAGTGGAGAGACAAATCCTGGCCTCCAGCCCCAGGACAGAGGCCCCAGGGAAGTCACCTGCCCAGCCTGGCCACCCTGGACTAGAAATGCAGACTTACCAGCTGAGGGCCACCTGTAAATGCCCTGATGAGTAATGACCATGTTTCTTTGAAAATAACACATTCATTGCACACCAGCCTCTGTGTGTGTAAATGCAAAGAAGAAAATCAAACCAGGTGGAACTACAATGCCCAGAGTCCCAGTCAGTAGGAGCAAAGGATGAGCCTCCTGACAGCTCCTGAGGCCCATGAGGCAGAACAGAGGCTGTCCTGGTGCTTTCTCACTCCCCGGTGTCGACTGCGCTGAGCCCCTTCCCCTATGTGGAGATATAAAACCCTCCTCCCCTCCCCTGCCTGACCCCGCCATCTCTCTTTCCCCTCGGGGCACGTGGCTTGGACAAAGCAAGCTCATTCCCACCTCCTCCGCACCATTGATCCTGTCATTCCCTCTACCTGAAATACTTTTTCTTCTGGGTGGTTCCATGACTGCTTCCCTGTCTTAGCTCCAGGTCTCAGCTCCAGTGTCGCTGCCTTAAACAGGCCTTTCCTGACCTTGAGCCCCTCTAGGCAAGGCCTGGGGTGGACTCATCTCTGGCCCCACTGCTGCCAGGCATACAGCAGGTTCCACATATGCTTGCTGAATAGCAGTGAGTGAGTGAATGAATGAATCTGAACACTGTCTGGAGACAGGCTTCTATTCTGTTCCTTCACAGAGAAGTAGGGGTGAAGTTGCAGACCAGAGAACTGTAGCCCCGAGGGTTGTGGGGTAGGGTGACGGAAGCCTCCATTTTTTTTTTTTTAAGATTTATTTATTTATGCATACAAGAGCTGGGGTACAGGCCAGAGATGCGTGGGGGAGAGGATCCACCAGAGACAGAGTGGGGAACAGAACAGGCAGACTGACTGAAATACACTGCTGAGGGGAGCAGCGGGCGAGACAGGAGAGGTCTGCTTCGCTTAGAGTGAGGGAAAAAAAGCAAGCCAGTCCCTGGAGGCAAGCCCAGGTTTAAGCACTACAGTGAAGGGGTGCTGCTAGGGAAACTGGCAGAGGCGCTGGAGAGTGGGGAGAGCTGGAAGAGGGTAAGATGTGTCTCTGGGAGGAGCTGGTGAGGGAGAGGATGTCAATACCCTTGAGGCCACTGTCAGCCCCCATCTGAGGGACCTCAAGGCCAACCCTCAGGAGGTAAGGAGGCCAATATTCAGGAACCTCTTCAAGTTCCTCCAACCACTGTGAGGCACGACGGTCCTTCTCAAGGTGAAGGGCTGCAGGAGTGAAGCCTGAAGGGTGGTGGTCCAGATTTCAAGGTTGGAGAGGGCCAGCAGCGTCATGTTGCTGGGAGGGGTGGGTGGCAGGTGGCGCTGCCCTTTTACCCCAATATAGGGTCTGTGCTCAGCCCCGCCTGGCCCTTTGGCTAATATATACCCCAAGCCTGGGTGCCCAGATCCTGCAAGCACCAACACACATGGACAGGCTCAGAAAGCAAGGCCCGCGCCGCCCCAGCAGCCAGTATCCAGTGAGTGATGAATCCTGTGCCTGGACAAGAGCCCCAACTTGCTGACCAAAGCGCCAGAAGGTAGCAGACGGGGCCGCCTGCCCCCCCCTCCCCCCACAGCAGGGAAACTGAGGCTGGCCCCGAGGAAGAGTTGAAGGCAGCCTCTGGACCCAGGAGGTGTGGGATGGGCAGACTCAGCCTTCCCTGTTCCCCTCCCCCTAACCGGCCCTGATCTTTCCCGGCCAACCCAAGCCAGCAGTGTTTCGGGGGGTCACACGTGGGGGCTGAGGAGCCCGTTTAGGCCTCTATAGCCTGTGGAATCTGGAGAGGGGGCAGCGAGGGGTTACTGTGGGACACTTCTGGAGGGTCTGCGTGGGAAGGGAGGGTATTGCTTTGGGGGGCGACTCCGGAAAGTCGCCCTGTTCCCGCGGATCCCGAGCGCGGAGAATTCCCAGCGCCCCCGCGCCCTCCGCGGCCCCCGCCCCGCCGCGAGCGGCTGCCTGCGCGGGTCACCGGCTTGCCCCGTTACCCAAGAGGGCGGAGCGAGCCGTGGGCGCCTCCGGGGTGCCCGGCCGCGGGAGCGCAGGGGTGGGGCCCGGCGGGCCGGGGGAGGAGCGGGGCTGCCGGGCGACGGGGCGGAGGGAGGGGCGGGCGCCGGCGGCGGCGACAGCAGCGGAGCGGCGCGACCAGGCCGGGCGGCGAGCGGCGAGCGCACGGGGAGCGCGAGGTCCCGCGGCCGGCGCAGCCATGTGAGTGTCCCCGGGGCCCGGGGCCCGGCCGGGCGGGGGCGGGCGCGGCGGCGCGGGGCCTCCCCGCGGGCGCCGCCCCAGCGCCCCGGGATCTGCTCCCCGCGCCGCCGAGCCCCGGCCCCGGCCGCGCCGCGGCCCCTCTCCCCTCCCCCCGCGCCGGGGCGCAGCCTCGCTCCACAAAAGCCGCTGCCTCCGGGCCTGCCGCGCCCGGCGCCGCCTCA